CTTTTATACCATAAGCATATAATTTTATTAAAAGACCNCGTGCCACACTCCATCGAAGGCTTTCGATATATCAAAGAAAGTCATACAGGTTTGCTGTTTATTTTCTAATGCTGAACATATATTATGATATATTTCGATTAACTGATAAACAGTCGAGTGCCCTTTAACAAATCCAGATTGGTATTTACATAGTAAATTATTATCTATTAAATAATTATGGAGGTATTAATGTACAACTCTTTCAAATAACTTACCTACAGAGCTTAATAGTGAGATAGGTCGGTAATTAGAAGGAAGGAAACTCTAATTTTTCTTAAATAGTGGGACAGAAGCCAATTTCCACGCAGAAGGAAATTTACATTCTCTTAAAGACCGTACCGTTTATATAAAATAAGAAGAGGTTCAAAACTGTTTCGGCAGTGTTTTTTAGTATGTTATGACTTATAGAATCAATTCCTGTTGCCTTGTTCAATTTCAAGGTTTTAAGAATATCAAGAATATCAGTTCTGGTAATTGTAATGGAAAGTATTGACGAATTGGTGCGGGATTGGAAACTATGGCTGTCTAAGTAATCATCAATGTTGGTTACTGAACAAAAATAATCATTTAAGACATTTGCTTTACTTTCATCATCATGTACTAAAGAATTATTGCTAGGGTCATATCATGCAGAAATACTTCCTGAATTAGCTGCTTTACCAATCAATCGGCGCATGAGTGGCCAGTAAGATTTTGAGTCAGAGGCATCTAATAAATCAATTAAACCATTCACATTAGCAAAGAAGGATAACTTGGCGTGCTTTTTCATGTTATTAACTTTGTTTCTTTGAGCTTTAAATTTTTACGAAGGAGTGGCTGCTTGTGTTTTTACGAAATAAATTATGTAATCTGTTTCTTTTTCTTATTTCAAGTCGGAGTTCGGATGTAAACCAAGATTTGTCGTTTTTACTAATAGTTATATGTTTCATTGGAATACTGGCTTTGGCAAACTCTTAAGACTTGGACGTAAATAGTTCACATGCCTCATCTAGACTAGAAGCAGTGTTCAAAACAACGTTCCATGGAAAAAAATTAATCAAATTATTAAATAAAACAAAATTGGCATCTTTATAAACCCAAACGTTACGTTTTAAAGTATTAGATATGGTTTGTGGTAGTTCTAATACAGCGACAGCGGCGGAATGGTCACTAATTTCATTGTCGACAGGTAAAACAGATGATCCAACTACTTTAACATTATCACTAACGAGAACGAGGTCGATCAATGTACTAGGGTTTACAGTTACACGTGACGGTTCGGTAATTACATTGTTGAGATTAAAAAGCATGACAATATCGTGGAGTTTACTATTCGTTACAGTGAGACAATCAACATTAATATCTCCATGTATAACTACATCAGTGCTGATAGAAAATGCGCTATCAATAGAATTTTGAAAATCATCCCAAAATCTAACACTTGATACCCCCGGGGGGCGATAAACTGTACAGAAGAAGAACTAGTACTATATTAGTGCTAGGCACTATCGACTGGAGTGTAATAAGGACATATGTCAAGATATAAGCCTTCATTAGAGTGGACAATAAAAACTCTATGTTAAGCATTGAAAAGTAATTATGATTATTATACATTTTTTTTTAGTATGTTTGAACAGAATTGCATTTTATATCGTATAGCCCTATTGCCGCCCGATAAATAGATACATCAATGAACATCAAGGTACACAACAAACCACGACATTTGGCGGCAAATACTATTGACTACCAGTACATATATAGTTATCAGACATGCTTGGGCACATATGGTAAAACTGTAATGAAAAAAGATAACATAACAAAAACGAAAGAAAAATTGAAACTCGCGAAGAAAAACAAAATATACAAAGGCATTCAACTCAGTTGATGAGTTAACACACGAGGAGATATACAGTAATGATAAATTAATCTTACTGACAATCTGGTCCACAGAGGAGATATACAGTAATGATAAATTAATCTTACTGACGATCTGGTCCACAGAGGAGATATACAGTAATGATAAATTAATCTTACTGACGATCTGGTCCACAGAGCCATACTGAATAATGACGCGGTATGCTACATATACTCTTACCATATTGAATAATGACACAGCATATATATTTGTATACTGATACCATACTGAATGATGACACGGTATACATACTGTTACCATACTGAATGATTACACTTTATACATACTGTTACCATACTGAATGATTACACTTTATACATATTGATACCATACTGAATGATGATATGGTAAACATACTGTTAATACTTAATACTGACACATACTGAATGATGACACGGTATACATACTGTTACCATACTGAATAATGACACGATATACCTAACCACGCAGCGTTACCATACTGAATACTGACACGGTATACATACTGTCACCATACTGAATAATGACACGATAATGACGTGGTATACATATACTGAAGGTTACTATAACACCGTAAACATCGTGAGGACATGGTATACATGTTTACATACTGTTACATGTGCCATATATACTAAATGGAGACCAAGTACGAAAATATTATGATGTGATATGGAACAAATGGAATGGTGAAAATGTAGCATTCGAGTCTAGGTGTTAAGTTTGTCTATGTGTCTTCATGTCAACGAATGAGAAAATGTTATCAAATAATAAAAAGAAAAAAATAATTAAATAAATAAATAAAATAATAAATGATAAACAACATTTGATATAGCACCATATCTAGCTAGAAAAGGCTACTCTAAAGCGCTTTACAGTACATAGATATATAATTTATACAAACAATACAATTAGCTCATACATTAATCAATTCAATTTTGAGAGTGTGTATGCCTGTGCATGCGTGTGTGCTGGAGATGTATTGTGTTCTGTTTGTAATGGGACCGTGCTTCCAACGGTATCATTTATAGTACCACCTCACTTGAATGCTACAGCACAGATACCGCAACATCCATCCCAGACCATTGTATACTCTAAAATTGATCTGTAACATAAAAGACTTACATATCGATCGTTATCTTACTCACTTCTCTACCCGTTCTTTCGGCAGTGTTTGCTGTGACATCTGTCTCCATATGACAATGGAATACAATTATTTATTTATTGACGTTTATATTAGATGTACGTTATAAATGTAACTCTGGTAGATACTAGCCGCAATACAAAAATGTATATCGCTCAGCTATGGAGAACTTCTCTTTAGCTCGATCGGCTGAGCGTAAGACTAGTAAGACAGAGGTCCCGGGTTCGATCCCTAGCCGATGCAGTGATTTAAATTTAATTAATTATGCGCTCTGTTACATTGGCGCCCACGTAGAGACCCGGGAGATATGACAAAAATACTCAGCGATACTTGCAAACGAATCGCTATCATCCCCGGAAAACTCGGGACGAGTTATTTCCTGGAGGGGGGAGGATGTCACCCTGGTAAAATACTAGCCGCTTCCTACCTAGTGAGAATTTCTCTTTAGCTCATTCGGTAGAGCATAAGACTAGTAAACCAGAGGTTCCGGGTTCGACTCTTTACGGAGGCATTGAAAAACAAATCACCTCTGTTACATATATTTCATTTTATATAGGGATTGAATCTGGTTTTGTCCAGTGTTCATGCAAGTATGAACGGGGAAAATTGTACTTACAAACCACATGTGCGGCCGTAGCGAAGCGGGGATCTCGAAACTAATTCACGTGAAAATATTCCCGATCATGTCGGGAAAAAACCCATTGAAGAAACAGTGGTTTAGCTGTTTGCAAACGAGCTTTTATCTAACGTAGTTGATTCTACATATAGAAAGTTTTTAACAGTGTAGCTTCGTGTACGGTGAAGTCGAGTGATGATGATTCTGGAAAACGGAAAAGCCGATGTTGACACCAGGTCTGAGGAAAGTGATGTTTATTATGACGGGAGTGCATACGCTAAACTCGATCGTCACGTTTTTTGTTTCGCGGATCATTCATGGATATGAAATATGAAAGAACTTTAATTTGCTTGTCATGGGAGGAACATTATGTGTCGTAATTCCAACCCCGCTTTTCTCAGGGCTCGGTTGTTTGTAGGCTCTGCCTCGCTCTGTGCAACGGATGTAGGCCTCAGTAGTACTAGTGTTTGCATGCCGCGTTCGCCATGTTCGTGGAAATTTATGGATAATACAGTATATGTCAGTATATTCACCTCGGTTGATACTTTCTATTGTTTGAAACATCCAGATTATATCCTTATATCGCCACTATTTTGATCAATGTGGAGACCCATGTCTGACATCAAAATATATTTTGGTAAATTTAAAAGGAGTCCCATGGAAAAACAGCCGTTCATACTAATATTAACAGCTGTATTTTGGGTCACATGTGATACTATAAACCAATCACAGAACCTGTAACAAAGCGCATAATTAAATTTGGAATTATTTAAAAATGTAACTGATATTGATTTATTTCAAGTAGCCTTTTTTGCACCAAACACTCATTCTCAAATAAGATGCAAAAGAATTGTAAGAGTATAGTTTCACTCAATTGAAGACAATTAATTTTATAACAATATTTGTCTTAGATATTTTTGCCAAAAACAGTAACGATTACTTATTTAATGATAACGGATAGCTTTTTTTATTCATTTTTTAATGACTTTTTTCAAATTCAGTTCTGTCATTTAAAGTCATTTTCCCTGCAAAAGATAAAAACAAAGTAGGTTGTTTTTGTTTGGTACTTACAAAGCCTCGAAATAACCTTCAAAGTTAGTATTCTCGGATTGATATTATCTTTATCACTCAGAAGTGATAAAATACATTGATTTATTCCTTCCCTTTATAAAAATATGCATTATTTAGAATTGTATCTTGATATCAGAAGCGTCAAACTACAAACTCAATGAATATGTATGATATCTTAAAATACATTGGTTAATATGAAACGACACTCATTAGCATACACTCATTAGCATGTACCAATTAATGTTTTTTAACTGCTCCAGGTGTACTGGCTGTAGCTGACCAGATGCTCTTATCAAGGAGCTAAGGAATAATTGCCCAGCGCCAAGGAGAACTGGACATCTGTCTGCTTGATAGGACACGTCCCTTTATCGAGAATAACTTTAAGTCACTGACCCTTTTAATGCGTGGAACCAGAGGGCCCAAAGTACAATAACAATACATTTCCGTTACAATACTCCACGTACAATACCCACATATTTGTAAACCTGCCGTACAGCGAGTGGCAATATTTATGATCCTGAAAGAACTCTGTGCCTTTTGAAATGTTCGAACTTCTCGATTCCAGTGTATCAGCTATACAGATTTAACTTTAATCAGGAATGTCATCAAAAATTTATTAGTATATAGGTATACATACATCTGGCCTGTCATCATAATATAACAACAGTGCCAAACTAAAATAGAAGTTTATAATCCGGAACAAACAAAAACCAGAGACAACAGTATAACTGTTGTAAACAATTTGCTCATCAATGCAAAATTAAAGTAAATAATGTTTCGTTAACATCTTATCGTCACACAATTCTGTTCAAAGTGTATTTGTATATGAACTAAAAAGACTTTGAAACAGTTTGGTTTCTAAGTCTTATAAAATCTAGCTACATCATGAAGTTCTTGCGTTTGAGACGTCGGAAATGTTGTAAGACGACTCTTACTGTATTAGCAGTCTTTGCAGTTTCTTGTATAATAAATGAGCTGTTTTATGGCAACTTACAAGAACGTATGAAGCGAACTATATTTCCCGTACATAATATATCAAAAGAAAACGGAAATAACGTAGCGAGACATATCAGAGAACATACAACAGATTTACATTCTACACATACCGGATCAAACGAAAACAATGTGACGAGTAATACAGCGAAACGTACCACATATTTACGTTCAGAACATACCGGATCAAACGAATACGAAAACAATGTGACGAGTAACACCATAAAAAGTACTAGTACCGGATCGAAAGGAAAAATAAGCAATGCGACGGAAAACACCGCACAAAATAACTCGATTGTACAGCAGAAAGCGCTTCCCTTTAGTAAGTTTAGATACCCTCTAGACATTAACTTCGCGGAATTAATCACAAACATCAGTGAAACAGGTAAAACAGACGTCAAACCCATCAATGTTTACCCGTTTACTTACCTTAAACCGATGGAAGACATTTGTAAATCAACGAAGGAAGTTTACCTGTTATTTCTGATCAAGTCCGCACCAGAAAATTTTGATCAGCGACAAGCTATCAGAGAAACATGGGCTAACAAGACTTATTTTAAACAAGACATTATCCGCCATGTTTTTTTGCTTGCAAGAACTATGAATAAAACAATTAATGATCGTCTTGCTCTGGAGGAAGGGATGTATAACGACATCGTCCAGATGACGTACGTCAATGCCTATTACAACAACACTTATAAAACTATCGGAGGTATTAATTGGTGTGTTAAATATTGTCCTAAGGCTCAATTTGTTATGATGGTGGATGATGACTTTTACGTTGCCACTGACTTCCTTTTAGATTATCTGCATGGTTTGCCAAATAGCATAGTACGCTCACTCTTTGCGGGATATAGGGCCGTTGATCATCCGCAGAGACGCCGAAAGGATAAATGGTATATGTCCTTAGAAGATTATCCTTTTAAGAAGTATCCGCCGTTTATCAGTGCAGGTGCAATGATAATGTCGATGGATTTCGTCAAAAAACTCCAGATTGCTATCCCGTTTACTAAGAAATTCAAGTTTGATGACGTCTTTATAGCGATCGTTGCCCATAAACTTGGTGTTAAACCCATACACCTTCCAAAAATCTACATAATAAAGCTCATCGACTTTAAGGATAAACGATTCAAAACAATGGTCGCTTCACATCGGTACAAAAGTACACATGCCTTGCGGAATGCATGGTATTATCATTTACAAACGGTTAATTAAAGAGAGTAACATGTTGCAAAATATTAATTTTGTACTTCAACGCTAGAATTCTGATTAATTACACATTGCCTGTAATATTGTTCACATGTGTTTTTACTTCATTCACATTTAAAGTAATTTTGAAAAAATAGCATACAAAGTGATACATAAATTAGTCAAAACTCTGATCAATTTGCAACAGTATACATATGTGTGTACGCTTCACAGAAAATGCGTTTATATAGTTTGTACTTATAAATGTACATACGTTTATATGATTATCTTATAATAAATCACTTGTCAGCGAAACCGCTTACTTCATGTGTGATTGAAATTGTTAAAGTTCATATTTTAGCGGATTTTTATTTCAGCGCTTATAGGTATATATTTAACGATTATTCCTTTATGTGTGCCATTTTACTGTAAAAGTTTATATTTTAGCGGACTTTAGTGCTTTCTCGCGCTTTATATTATGATTGCGCTAGATAAAGTTTCTGAATATAATTTTCTATAACATTTAATGTTAGTGTGCTCCAATTTCATCATGCGCTAATAAACATTTTAACAGTAAGTAAGTAATTCTTTCATTAATGAAAGCAACAAATAGCCATCTTTGATGGGGAATGTGTTATATATGAAGATAACATGGAGGCTAGTAACACAGATATAAATGATATAGTTCTAACTGGGGATCTAAATGTAAATCAGTTAGCCCGAACCCATAATTCAAATTATCCTGAAAAAAATATGACCGTTTACGGACTACACCAAATGATGTGGAAGTGATAATGAGTGTTGATTGCACAATACATATATGCATATATCATTTGTCATTTATTGTAAATTATAGTTATCCAATAGGTTGTGAAACTTAAGGAATAAAAGTTGAATTGTGTATGTGTGTGTGTATGTGTATATGTGTGTGTGTAGCATATTGTATGTTGTCTCTGTATTGTTTTGTATATATGTTATAACTGATAAGTCAACCGACTTAAAGTAATAAAGAACTTGAACGGGCTACAGCAACTAGTTACAGAGTGTACTCATTATACAGAACATACCTCATCATTAATTGATGTTAATTTAGTAAATAACAACTTTATAATAGACATATCATAGGTAGGAGAATCGTTTCGCTCTGTACTTGGAAACATCAGCTTCTTAATTTACTCAGTGAAATTTTATGTATTCTCTTATAATTATTGTCATATAAAACTTGTTCTTATTTTCAGATTTTAACTTGTGTGACTTCAGTTTGATATTATTATCTGTTATTGTGTGCTTTGATACATCAACTACAAGGTGGCTAACGCTCAGATCAACGTTAAGTTCATCACCATTACACTCAATGTATTTGGCGAAAGGCTTCTTGGATAGAATGTTCTGTGCTAGAGACTTAAGTGATATATATAGAGAATGTGATTTGTGCTAGAAACTTCAGCTTCATTTAGTGGTTTACTGTTTATAATTATATTTATTAATTAACTTTTAGTGCTGTATTAAAAGTGTATTACTGTTATATGTAGGAATAGAAACTTTATTTTATTGCTGACATTAGTATCAATGTGGCTTAAATTAAGGAATTTTATTTTTCATATAATGTAATGTTATTTTCACTTTCATATAATGTAAATATTAGTATTTAATGATTATTTTCTATTACTTAGTGCTGTATTAAATGTGTATTACAGTTATATGTATAAATAAAAACTCTGTTATCTATTTTATTATTGACTTTAATATCATATATCTACAAAATGAGTTGACATTCTTAGCTATAACTGGTATAACAATGGCGGCTATTTAGTGGGACGTGACTGTTCGGTCCGTAATATTTTTCGTCGTTTATGGTCGTTCTACCTTGAAAGTTGGGTCAAGGTCGAGTGAACAAGTGTGGGACCTTCTAGTTGTTATGTATGCTGTTGAAATTTTGAAATTTCTTGCGCATTTGTTCGATTTTAAGCATGTTCTGTAAAACTCATCCCTGCAAATATTGTGTTAAGTGTGTGCAATGAACTGTGACTACGTATAGAACATATTATATTGTACACGTACGGTGCCCACGGCCAAAATTTCGTCACGCTCTATTGCACGACACAGTGCTATATGACTGACCTGGTTGACAAGGACGCGGACGCGTTTCCTACATCAACTGCTCAATCACAAGCTAGACAAGTCATTTTCGAGGATTCGGACGCTTTGACCTCTCAATCTTCAAGTAAAACGGCCCTTTCTGGCAACTATTGCAATAGAATATCAAGTTAAGAAAATAGATGACGTCCAATCATCGCTATTGTCGTTGTCAAGGAGAGTCCGTGAGGTCGAGGTCAAGGTTAGTGATATTACGTCACTCAAGAGCTGAAAGACAGTACCCAGTTTATCAGTGATATGTACGAGCGTATCAGTACTTCTGTGAATAAAAACAAGGAGGATATTGTTAAAGTAAACGCCAAGCTTACAGCCAGTGTCGACCACGCTGTTGGGGCTACGGAGGGATTTCAGCTTAAGAATGCCGAACTTCAGGAGGTAGTTACTGACTTACAATGCAGATCAATGAAATGTAATCTAGTGTTCACGGGATTACAGGAAAACCGAGGGGAGGATACTGAAGCCCTCATTCGACAGTTTATCTGCAACGAACTTTGGATAGATGACGTTCATGAATTCGGTAACGTACACCGGTTTGGTAAGCGTCGAGGTAACAAACCTCGCCCTATAGTCGCTCGCTTCCTCTGTCAGCGTCAACATGACGACGTTTTAAGACATGCTTTTCGTCTGAAAGGCAAAGTGTTCGGTCTCCACGAGCAGTTTCCACCAATCATTGAGGAGGCAAGGATGAAGCTTTATCCAGTGGCTAAGGCAAAGCGAAGGAATGGGCACAAAGTAAGACTTGTACGTGATAAGATGTTCGTCGATGGTGTGTTGTACACGGGCGATACGAGTTCTCAAAGGATGGAATCACGTGTTCAGCCTGCTGCACCCATGAATGTAGAGGAAAGCAGGTCGAAGAGATCGCGCCAGCCGTCAACTCCCAACGGAACAGGATCATCAACTTCCGGTTGTCCACCGTCACGTCGGGCTAGATACGCAAGGTTCTCATGCGGGTTGTGATGAGGAACAGACCTACGCCAAAGCTGTTTCCGCATAGGGCTCACAGGAGAACATATCCCAAATTAATATATGCTCTTGGAACGTTCATAGAGGCATAGAAAATAAAATTATAGATGATAATTTTCTTAATATTTATCAAGATTCAGATATTGTTTTTCTAGGTGAATGTTGGTTAAATAATTTAGGTAACGTTAATGTTAAAGGTTTCGAGAGAAGTAAATGTAAAGGGGTTGGCATGATATGTTTATTTAAATCATGGCTGACAGAGCATATAACGCTGAAAGAGGTTGTATCTGATAGTATTTTGTGGATAAAGCTAGATGGCAAGCTCTTTTTTGACTTTATTCCATTTGATGTTCTACATGATAGTTTACATCAGGTTATAGATAATGTGATACCCTATGAAGATGAAGTTGATGAAAGTGTTCGTAATTCTGAAGATGTTTTTGTTAACCAATTTGGGCGTCGTCTTTTGCAAATGTGTAAGACTACTGGTTTTCGAATATTAAATGGTCGGACGACTGGTGATATCGAAGGTAAATTTACGTTTTATAACGCCTTAGGTACAAGTACAATTGATTATGTACTGGCTCATAGCCATTATTTGGACCAGGTTCAAAATTGTAATGTTGGGGATTTTAATGAATATTCTGACCACGCGCCATTGTTTTTCACCTTAAAAGCAGACACTCATATTTGTAATTGTTGTGACTTCAGTAATACGTTTAGTACTACTAAGTCTGTGTCCTGGACAGAAGAAGCAAGAGTGAATACTGCTGATTCTATGAATGCAAATAGGGCATTAATTGCAAATTCGTTGAATACCTTAGAGAATACTATGGACAGTATTGACAAATGTTTGGAAGTACTGGTTAACAATGTTCACTTTATTTTTGACAAGTCTTGCTGTTTCGAGAAACGTATACGTACTTGTAATTGTTCTTGTCATCAGAAGTCTAGACGTAATGTCAAGGAACCTGACAAACCATGGTTTGATAACGAATGTAAACGTTTACGTAGAATATATAGAAACGCTTTAAGATCTTTTAATATATGTAGAACTGTTAGCAATAGAGAAAACTTAGTTCGTGAAAAGAAGAAATACAAGACCTACGAGGCGAGGGTGAAGAGATCTTATCTTCGGAATGAAGGCGATATGTTAGACATTTTGAGAAAAAATGATCCAAAAGTTTTTTATAGTAATTTTTCTAGACGTAAGACTTGTGATTCCGGAAATCTGGTTTTAAATGATTTTTACCAATATTTTAAAGATATTGCCAACAATTCAGTTGACTTTTCTCCCGTCAATGTTGAGCAAGTTGAAGTTGATAACGAATGTATTTACCCTGAGCTTGATGACGATTTCAGTCTTGATGAATTATTAGTTTCAATGAAAGGGTCATCCAAAGGTAAATCCGCCGGTTTAGACAATGTCATTAATGAATATTTTATTGAGTATATTGATGTTTTTGCACCAGTTTTCCAGAAATTGTTTAATACTATATTACAGGTAGGATACTTTCCTAAAGCTTGGTCAGAAGGAGTTGTTATACCTCTGCATAAAAAGGTGATAAAAACGACGTAAATAACTATAGGGGAATCACGTTAGTAAGTCATATGGCCAAGTTATTTACCTCACTCTTGAATAAACGAATGTTAAAGTGGAGCGAAAGCGAGAATGTAATAACAGATGCTCAGTTTGGTTTTAAGCCCGGGAGTGGTACCAGAGATGCAATTTTTGTACTTCATACCTTGATTACTAAAACTTTACAGAGTAATAAAAGGCTTTATTGTGTTTTCGTAGACTATAGAAAAGCGTTTGATAGTGTATCACATGATAAATTGTGGTGTAAATTGTGGAAATCGGGTGTAAGAGGACGGATGCTTAATGTTATCAAATCTATATACGAGAGTGTTAAGTCATGTGTAAAGCTTCATGGTAAATTATCTCCTATGTACGACTTACAGGTCGGATTATTACAAGGAGAATCTTTATCTCCAATAATGTTTTCTTTATTTGTCAACGACATGGAATCCGAATTGATTAAGTCAAATTGCCAAAGTTATCACTTGCAATTACTTAATTGGTTTTTAATTATGTATGCCGATGACACGGTATTTTTTTCTGAGGATGTAGTTGACCTACAAAATATGTTGGATTTTTTAATCACTTATTCTCGACGTTGGAATTTATCTGTAAATGTAGACAAAACAAAAATAGTTGTTTTTAGGAAAAGTAAACGATTGTATCCAAACGAGCAGTGGATTTTTGATGGTAAAGCTATAGAAGTGGTAGATCAATTTTGCTATTTAGGTTTGGTTTTTAATTATAATGGTAAATTTACCATTGCATTGAATAAAATTGCTGTACAAGGAAGGAAAGCTTATTTTCTTCTTAATCGGAAAGCGAAAAGATTTTTGTTGAATGAAAAGACCAAGTTATCTTTATTTGATACTTATATATCATGTATTGTGAATTACGGGTGTGAAGTATGGGGTTATAGTCCTGCACCGCAGATTGAAAATATACATTTATTATTTTTGAAAACCGTATTGGGTGTCAGGAAAACAGTAAATAATGCCATGGTGTATTTTGAACTTGGTCGTTACCCTTTGCATATACAGCGTAGGATTGCTATTGTAAAGTACTGGCTGCAAATATTAAAGACTAATAACTGTATTTTGAGGGCCTGTTACGATGAACTTTTAGAGCTTTATAACAGGAAACCAAATTGTAAAGCAAATTGGGTTTATCATCTGAGACGTGATTTGTGTACGTTGGGTTTTGGAGATGTGTGGTTGGCACAATGTGTACCAAATGAGAAATCTTTTTTATTATTATATATACAACGCATAAAGGATACTTTTATTCAGGAAATGAGAAACATATTCGAGACATCTTCAAAATGTTTGTTGTATAAACACATTGTTGACCGTTTTGATCTACAATGGTATTTTACAAAACCGCTATTTAGAAAAAATAAATGTATTCTTGCGAAATATAGATTGCAAGCACATAACCTTAATATAGAGAGAGGTAGATATAATGCAGTGCCTCGAAACCAGAGATTGTGTACTTTATGTGATCTTGGAGATGTCGAGGATGAGTTTCATTTCATTCTTATGTGTCCTGTGTTTTTAGAATTAAGAGTATCGTATATCAAGCCATATTATCGTATTCGTCCTTCTGTGTTTAAATTAATAGAGCTACTGTCTAGCAAAAATTTTAAACTTATTAGAAATTTAAGTAAGTACTTGATTCAGGCAACTGTTAAGAGAAGTCGTATATTATGAAATATAAGCTGTATCAAATTCTTGCTATAAACGTTTTGTTACTGTATAATGCGATTGAGATCTATGTCTTTTATTTCACAATAAGTTATAATCTCATTTCATTATATAATATATAGTACTCGTTCTACCTTCATGTTGAGGTTGTATGATTGACTTTGAAGTTTTGTTATTTCCTAGAAATTTGGTTAGATTAAGTTTAACTAAATTATGCTTCATAAGAGTCCGCTAATTTACCTTAAGAAAGCCTTAAAGTTTTCCCAAACTTATGCCAATTTCATAATTTGTAAATATTATGTATGGAATTGAATCTATTGCATATGTTCTCCGACATTGTACAAGATGTTTGTCAAGTATTTATCTATATGTATATTTCTATACGCCTGTATGCAATGTGCATTTGGTAATAAATTGAATTGAATAACTAAACTTCAAAGAATTTCCTACATAAACACCTTCCTCTCAATTCTCCAGAGTTGGTGTTCGGGGAATGAGCCTTCTAGACCAATCGATAAGGTATCACGGTCCAATTTACGCGTCATTAAACATTAATAAAAACGTATCCGACTGTAATATGTCGATTACAATAAACTTAGAAATGTACTGGCCGAAATCGATTGGTCACTCATTGATGTCGCTGACATGATCATATTAATGCTTGTACAACTTCTTCTGTCCCAAGTAAAAAAGTCCCTATAATAAGATACGATCATCCATGGATGAATAAAGAAATACGGCTTAAGTTATCTAAACGTAAACAAAAATCATTAAAAGGCGAAAGTAACTAACAAATCTTCAGACTGGTTAAAGTTCAGACATACTCGTTTTTATCCAACACATAGTTCAATATATTTTTTTAAAAGCTAAATGACTCTTTTTTAAGATCTACTTACAAAGCACAAATAATTTAAAGTCATAATTGAGATGATAGAACCCAGAGGCGAGAGTTATGTTTTCACTCTTACCTGAAATCATATAAGTCAGAAGAAAGAAAGTAATAGTACATTGTAAATGTAAAAGCGAATGTATTGAGTAGCTGATACTGTATTTATCAAATGTGTTACGGGAAAGAAATATGGGAACAACAAAAATGCACAATGAATTAGTGACAATAACAATAGAAATAAGAGAGAGAAAAAAA